ATCAGCAAGCTGAGACCGGACCTCAGCTGCAGCTGCTGCCTAGAAGCTCCCTCCATGTGTGTGTCCCCCCTGCTCTATGGAAGATGGGGTAAGCGGGGTGCAGGAGCAGGGGGGAGGGAGACACCCTGACATTAGCCCTCCTCTTCTCCCCCCCCCCCCCGCACAGCAAGCAGGAGTCTCGGGGAGCAGCTCCAAGGCAGAGGGCAGGAGCAGCACATGGCAGTGGGGGGAGGGACAGCTGAAATGCTGACAATTGATAGCCTGCTGGGCAGCTGCTGCACAGGGAACTTAGGGGAGCGGGGAGCTGATAGCGGGCTGCCAGTCCACCCTGGTTCCAACCACCCACCAGCTAGCTTCAATAGGCTGCTCTTCCTGCAAACAGCGGACAAAGCAGGCGGCTGCCAAATGACGTTAGAAGGGAGCATTGCACAACTTTAAACGAGCATGTTCCCTAATTGATCAGCAACGTAACAATGAAACTATGTTAACCGGGACAACTTTAAGTGAGGAGTTCCTGTACTAGATCCCCTCCTGAGGAGGGCTCACCAGGCTGCAGCAGCCAGCTGAGGGAGCCTGCAGGAAGGGTCAGAACAGGGATTTGAAGGGTGGACTCTAAGACCCAGTGGTGCCCCAAATTTTCAGTTGCCCTACGCAGCTGCGTACGTTGCCTATGCCTAAGGATGGCCCTGCACATCAGACAATTTTAAAATCTTCATCTCTTGTCATTCTTACCAGACAGGAGTATCATTTATTTGTACTGCATCTTTCATGCAATGAAGGCTACACACAGCTGAATGACACAGTTACACCTGTCTCGATGAACTAGGGTGATCAGATGTCCCGATTTTATAGGGACAGTTCCGATATTTGGGGCTTTTTCTTATATAGGCTCCTATTACTCCCCACCCTCTGTCCCGATTTTTCACACTTGCTGTCTGGTCACCCTATGGGCAACTTGTGATGCCATTAACCTGTAATTAAAATCCAAAATTATTACCCATTAGACTGGACAGCAACTCTGTACCTTGTACTCCTGGGCGGCTTCCTGTATGGGAACCACAGTGTGAGCGCGATGAGCCTGGGACTCTCTGCAGATCACACAGATGGGGGTTTCATCCTCTTCACAGAACAGTTTCAGAGTCTCCTGGTGTTCCCCACACACCCCGTCCCCTCCTGTTCCCTTTGTTGCCTGTAAACTCAGCCGTTCGGCGATTTCTACAACATTTGCCAGCTGCCTGTTCAGCCTGAGGTTTCTCTGCTGCACAGTTTCTCTGCACTGAGGGCAGGAGACGGCTGTATTTGATCCCTCACAACATTGGGCGATGCAGGCTCGGCAGAAATTGTGCCCACACTCCAGAGTGACAGGTTCTGTGAAATACTCCAGACAGATGGGACATGTAGATTCTTTCTGGAGATTTTTCAGGGGGTTCTCTGCAGCCATGGCTCCCTCTGGGCAGTGGAATAGGGTAAGTTTCAATTTCCTGAGTTCACACTATGCCCTGCCTGCATCAGCAATGGGGTGTTTCCCTTCCTGGAACTGACTCATGCTGTTCCCTGAATTGGAAGGAGCTCATGGGTAACATTACAGCCCTGGAGGCTTTGGTGAAAAATGTTCCACTAGGTCCTACAATCATCCCCTGTGCTGGTGTGGAGGGTCACTGAGCTTCACATGAACATCACATACCCCTGTGAGGATGAGCCTGCAGGGTCTGTATGTCTAAGGAGTGATAGTCAGACTTGGTGGAATTCTTTTTTATATATACCAGGGGTTCTCAAACTGGGGGTCAGGACCCCTCAGCGGGTCGCAAGGTGCTTCCATGGGGGGTCGCGAGCTGTCAGCCTCCACCCCAAACCTAGCTTTGCCTCCAGCATTAATAATAGTGTAAAATATATTAAAAGTGTTTTTAATTTATAAAGAGGGGTTGCACTCAGAGGCTTTCTATGTGAAAGGGGTCACCAGTACAAAAGGCTGAGAACCTCTCATATATATTATATAATTTTGACAGATAATGTTCATTTTAAACAATTTTTATATGTATTGATTTAAACTTTCACAGTTGCAGAAAAATCTGGGTTTCAGCATTTCATTCCAGTTGTTATCAATTTAAATTTTCACAGCTTTGGGAAATTCAGGGGGGATCAGACAATGGTTTGATCAGACAACAACTATTTAATGACACTGGACACTGAGATTCAAGAACTTAAAGCTTTATAACCATTAAAATTGTCTGTGAACAGGTAAATCTCCCCCAGCAGCTCCCCCAGGGCAATAACCCAATTCCTCCCCCACCACCACATGGACAGAGGCTGACAGTCCATCTGATGGCTGTTCAGGGGCCGGCATGGAATATGCTGGGATCTCAACCTGGGCCATAGTGGAGCAGGTGACCCCATCTCACACAACCACACCCAGCAAGGCCTGCACCGATTTTCTCCCTTTTTGTCAGTCCCAGCAGAGAGACCAGGGACTCAATGGCTTATGGAGACCAAGCTCCTCCCCAACAAATGAGGGCAGCAGGAGTGAGGGGAGCTTGTATAGGGGCCTGCAGGGTACATGGTCATAGGCGGCGAGATATATGGGCTCGTGGTGCCCTGGCTCCAGGAATATTTAGGGCCGGAGGCCCTGCTCCAACAATATTTGGAGCTGGGTCTCTCCCCCGGCCCTGCCTGCAGTGGGCACCGGCCCCCACCTGCCACCACCCCCGCCCCACGCTCGTCTCCCCCGCCCCACGCTCGTTTCCCCCGGCCCCGGAGCGCCCCTGCCGGAACAAAAGCTGCACACAGCTCTCCCGGCTGCTGCTGCCTATGGCAACAAGAGACACCGGCAGCAGGCTGAGGCAGCTGGCTGCTGCCGTTTGGGGCAGGAGGCACGTACTTGCCAGCCCTCCCCTCCCCTGGCACCCGCCTGGAGGAGGAGATGCAGAGGGGGCTTCCAGTGGGAGACAGGATCATCTGCAATGAACCTCACTCACCTGAGCAGCTGCTGGGGCTTCAGTGAGTGTTTGACCCTGTGATCTGCGCACACACCCCGCAGCCACCACTCCTGCCCCACGCTGGGCAAGGGGCAGCCCCATCCTCCACACCCCAGT